TGTGGGTGCTCCTCAAAATGAGAGGTTCTCTTTTGGTTCTTGATCCGCCATCCGAATTTCACTGGCCCAACATTTTGGCGCACACACCCAGTTGGTGGAATTGGGGGCTGGGCGGGCAAGGATTTTGCGCAAAATACAACAAGCTCGCTCATGAAGGTCTCTTTGGGTGTCTTTGTTTCCAATTGTCTAGTCAAAGACCCGCTGACCTGGGCCTAGTTGGAAGTAGTGAAAAGGGTAGGGGTCTTGGTCCCACCTCGGGTTCACTACAGTGACATCCTGAAAATGCCCTCTTACTTGGTGGGTTTGGAAGGGAAAACGGGACCCAAAAGTACTTTGAAGAGAACCCCATCTTTTCGCAGTAGTTTCCTTTCAAACCACAAAAGGGGGAGGTGCCTCACGTATCGATTCTTGCCTTCGGGCTTTCAGAGCTCATTCAAAACAGACATTGAGAACCAACTTCCCCGACCGAAGTCGTTTTCCCTTGTGGCAATGCTGCGCAGCAGGCCCGCGCGCCAGCGAGCGGCTGATCGTATTTGTTTTTATCGAGATGTTTTTCAATACTAAGTTGCTGTATCGCAAGCATATCGGACATTCAAGGCAACACATACCAATAAAATCGAGTGGTATTGCAAAGCTTGCAGGACCGAACCGTATCGTCATCAAAACAGCCCCGGAAACTGACCAGTCATTTTCCGCTCCAGCTGGGCTCGTCGGTTTGTGCGTCCAACCCTCAGGCAGGCATCATTATTGGTCAATGTCCTCCAGCGCCGCCAGCGCCTACAAGACATTGTAAAGCGTCTCTGTGTTAGACGCAGCACAAAGCTAAGATCAGAGCGTGCCTCCTGCGTCTCGGCCAACTCGTCCCACACAGCATCAGCCATGTCTCCACGCACAGATTTGGATCTGCTCAGCCCACGCCGCCGCTCATGTTGCATGCGCACCGCGCCGAGCCTCACCAGATCGCCACGCCACAAGATGGAAAATAGCGCTACGAGCGCCGAGTTCTCCCACGCAGTGAAAAGCAAGATATTATGCCTCTTTTGTCTTTCCTGCCCGGAAACTCGGGCGCCATCCCGGACACAGCTGCTCAGACTCTTAGACATTTCGGAAACTCTAGCATTTTGCACGCCCCAGCACAGAAAGACAGCAAAGTAGAGCACAGCGTTTCATCAGACAAAGGGCAGGCTACTGCAGCGCATAGTTCACGCCGAGTCGCGGCACATTGTACCCTTCAGCTGGCTTTTTGACGAGCCGGCCGCTGTCGCTCAAAGCCGCAGGCTCCGTGATGGATCCGAACTGCTGAAGGTAGGTCTCCTTCGTCGCCGCTTCACGCAACAGGTCGCCCCCAGCCAGCCAAGCGCCGATCAATCACAACGGAACCAGCTGTACGGCGCAGTCAACTCAGGTATCCATCGAGCCCTCTATATTATTCAGCATGCCACGCACCAACCGGCAGGCCGCGCCTTGGGCCACACGTCGAAAGCGGTGGTGGAGAGGCAGATCATGTTTTCTTCGCTGGCTCTCACCTTGGTTTCCTGCTCGTCCACGTGGTTCTGCAGGACTGTCTTTGCGCATGGCAACTCCTTGACGATCCTCCGTCGGAAAGATCCGTCCTGGCACGTGGGCTGCTCAATGCACTCCATGTGACAAATGGTGACAGGTCTCTTGCCTCAGGAACCTTGGCCCAGCATTCCGCTGCCGTCGTGACGGCTTGCAGAGCTTTGCATCGCTTCCGTAGCGGCAAGCGCATTTGCCCCGCCACCTGGGAACCGCAGGTACGCGAGGAACATGTGAGTTGATGGCTGTCGAACAATGCACGAAAATGCTACGACACGTCGGAACAAGTCTCGCAAACACGTACACTTCCGCAGCAAGTTCGAGTAAGCACTTCTCCGCGTGAGGAGTCGCCAACGCGAGACGCAAGAACGACGACAGGCAGAAGAATCTGCGACGACTCGGCGACAGAAGTGCGGCATAGTGACGACTCATACGCGACGACCCGGCAACGACTCTGCGACGACGCGGTGACGGGTGACGGACAGTTGACGACTGAGTGACGGAAGTGCGACGACTCGGTGACGGCAACAGGGCGAGTCGGTAGCGGAAGGGCGACGACTAGGACTTCTACAGCTCCAGCTCGTTGGTCGGAAGTACCAGTCCAGTACGCGCAAGACACTTCCGCAGCCCGAGCTCGAAAGTCGCGCCCATGTTGCACAAGGCTCTGGCACGCGAAGGACACTGTGCTCCCGCTCGGGAACTGCAACTGTGTAACATTTACGTCTTATACGCACGACTCACGGAAACGCGCCGACTTGATGGCGACGACTCATGACGGACGTGCGACGACTGGGTGACGCAAGTGCGATGACTCCGCGGCGGTAACGTGACTTGGTGATGGACACGTGACGACTCTGTGACGGAAATGTGGCCACTCAGTGACGGACATGCGACGAGAAGGAGACGGACATGTGACGACTCCGTGACGGAAATGAGAATAACGAATTTGTAGCACAAGTCTAGTATGCGAATACTCTTCCGCAGCTCCAGCGCGACAATCGCCACTTTGTACCACAAGAATAACACACGCAGCACACTTCGGCAACTCCGGCGTGAGTGTCGCAGTCGGTAACTAAAGAGCGACGACTTGGTGACGGAAATATGACGACTCGGTGACGGGAATATGACGACTTGGTGGCGGGAATATGACGACTTGGTGGCGGAAATGTGACGACTCGGTGACGGGAATATGATGCTTTGGTGACGGGAATATGACGACTTGGTGGCGGAAATGTGGCGACTCCGTGACGGCAGCTCGAGCTCGAAAATCCTTGCTTTGTGGTACCATGGTCTGGCGTGCGAAGTACAGCATCCCGCAGGTCCAGCTCACGAGTCGCAACATTGTAGCGCCAGTCTAGTACTCTCGAAGCACACTTCCGCTGCAGCTGAACAATTGCAACTATGTAGCGTCTAGCATGAGGGACGTAGACTTCCGCAGCTCTGACTCGAATACGGCAATCCTGTAGAACAAGTCTAGTACGCGAAGTACACTTCCGCAGCTCCAGTGCTCCAGTGCGAAAATCGCAACTTTGTACCACAATCGTATCACGCGCAGTACTTCGGCAACTCCAGCTCGAATCTCGCAGTCGGTGGCCAAACAGCGACGACTTGGTGACGGAAATTTGACGACTCGATCGGTCACGGAATCGATGGCGGACATGGGACTACTCTCATTGACGGACGTGTGACGACTGGGTGACGCAAAAGCGATGACTCCATGGCGGCGACGTGACTCCTTGGTGACGGACATGTGACGACTCTGTGACGGAAATGCGACCACTCAGTGACGGAAATGTGACGACTGGGTGACAGAGATGTGACGACTCAGTGACGGAAATGTGAATAGCGAAAATGTGATGACGGATGTGACGCCTCGGTGACGGAAATATCACGGAATCGATGGCGGACATGGGACTACTCGCATTGACGGACATTTGACGACTGGGTGACGCAAATGCGATGACTTCGTGGTGGTGACGTGACTCCTTGGTGACGGACATGTGACAACTCTGTGACGGACATGCGACCACTCAGTGACGGAAATGTGACGACTGGGTGACGGACGTGTGACGAACAGAGGTGTGACGCGACACTGAGATGACGGATTGCTCGGTGACGGAAATATGACGATTTGATGACGGGAATATGACGACTTGGTGACGGACATGTGACGACTGGGTGACGACTGGGTGACGCAGATGCGATGACTCCGTGACGGAAATGCGACCACTCAGTGACGGAAATGTGACGACTTGGTGACGGAGATGTGATGATTCAGTGACGGAAATGCGAATAGCGAAAATGTGATGACGGAATGCGACGACTCGGTGACGGAAATATGATATGACGATTTGGTGACGGGAATATGACGACTTGGTGCCGGAAATGTGACGACGTGTGACGACTGGGTGACGCAAATGCGATGACTTCATGGCGGCGACGTGACTCCTTGGTGGCGGGCATGTGACGACTCTGTGACGGAAATGCGACCACTCAGTGACGGAAATGTGACGACTTGGTGACGGAGGTGTGATGACTCAGTGACGAAAATGTGAATAGCGAGAATATGATGACGGAATGTGACGACTCGGTGACGGAAATATGACGATTTGGTGACGGGAATATGACGACGGGGTGGCGGAAATGTGACGACGTGTGACGACTGGGTGACGCAAATGCGATGACTTCATGGCGGCGACGTGACTCCTTGGTGACGGACATGTGACGACTCTGCGACGGAAATGCGACCACTCAGTGACGGATATGTGAGGTCTTGGTGACGGAGGTGTGACGACTTAGTGGCGGAAATGTGAATAGCGAAAATGTGATCGGAATATGACGCCTCGGTGACGGAAATATGACTCCATGGCGACGAGAATATGACGCCTTGGTGGCGGAAATGTGACGACTCCGTGACGGCAGCTCGAGCTCGAAAATCCTTGCTTTGCGGTACCATGGTCTGGCGTGCGAAGTACACAATTCCGCAGCTCCAACTCACAAAGCAGTAAAGGGGCCCTAGAAAAGCACAAGAGGGTGACCGGGTGAGCACTCGAGGAGTACTAGAGGAGTCCTAGGGTTGGTTTCGGGTTGGTTCAGGGCTTGATACGTGTTGGGCGGCCGCAGCAGAAGAATTGGCCGATGTCACGGTACCCGTTTTGGACACTTTGGAGCGCATCAATGTCTGTCTCCCCAGGACAGTCAACCACCACTGTCTGCTTGATAAGGGTAAACTTTATGAATTTTGTCGCCTTGTTCCGTTCATAGCCAAAAGGCGTGTTCAAGCCAAAAAACATGTTCTGGAAGCTGGCTTTGCACACATTTTTTTGTCCGAAGCAGCACGCGCCAGACATTTGTTTACAAGAGGCGCGAAGAAGGGCAGGAAAACTTTATTTCCCAGGCGCCAGATCTAGATCGATCTGTTCTGCTATGCTGTTCTGCGCCCCTTACATCGGCTTGATGTAGCCTCCGGGTCTGCGGTGATTGATGTAGCCTCCGCTGCTCAAAAAAGCCAGGGCGGACTCCAAATGCAGCCACACCTCCTTCACCTCACAAGCGCTTGAGTCCAGCACCCACTCCTCGAGCGACCTGGCGAGCCGCACCATCAGGCCAGGCAGGACTGGGCCTGAAGCGCCATGGTAGGACTTCGACGTCTTGTTAGACGCGATGAAGCCATGGGGCCTGAGGATGATGCTTCCGCCGCGGTCGTAGGTGGTGTTGGACCAGTCCTTGGTGGTGTAGACCGCAGCCGGATGGCAACCAGGGCTGTTGTTGACGCGGCCGGCTGCCATGATGCCCAGCGCGCCCTCCAGGCTCGTACAGTGGTGAAGCTGCTCCGGGACAGCCACCTGCGCGTTGCCATAGAGCCACTCGCCCGTGGGCAGCTGAAGCGAGCCAGTATGCTCTGCCGCCAGTGCTTCCTGGGATGCAGAGGCTCCCTGGATCTGGATCGCCAAGACGGCCTTGTCATCCTTCTTCTCGGTCCAGACCCGGCCCACCGCCGTGCGCGACCCCACCTCCGCCAAATACGCCAGCACCTCCTCCTTCAGCGTGTCAGCCCGGCCGTGGCTCACCACCTCGCCACCCTTCTTCATGTGGACGTTCGGGCATTTCTTGCCGCGCTTGCAGCCCTTGCGCGTGCCAAAAAAAGCGCACACCGCCAGCCCAGACGGTCCCGACGCCATGGCTGCTGGGCGATTGAAAGCTGAATTGATATGGTGTGATATGATGGCACCCGGTGTGATGTGGTGTTGTGTGATGTGATATGGCGTGGTGTGATGTGCGATGATGTGACATGATGTGTTCTAGTCCAATCTGCATCCCTTCCAAATATATGTTCAATGACATTCTATCTGCATCAACAATCTGCTAGTTCATCAGGCCTAGTCATGCTTGATCCTGAGGTGCCTAGATATGCACATGTGTGCATGCTTTCCTTGTCTCTTTCTCTACACCACCCTGAAAATGATCCCACCTGTGTCATTTAAAGTTATGTACTACCTGCTGCCTGGGATCGGTCCAATCACCAACTCCCGGCCCTGCAGGCAGTACCAATTGTTTGTGGGAAATTTGGATGGGGCATGCTGCCTGGGATCGGTCCAATCACCAACTCCCGGCCCTGCAGGCAGTACGAATTTTGTGTGGGAAATTTGGGTGGGCCATGTCCTTCCCAAAAACATTAGCATTGGCCGCCCAAGCATATTATCAGTTGCTCAAACGGATAAGGGGCGATCCCCCACGCCAAGATCCTGAGTGCGACCCAAACGGCGCCACTTCCATGGTACCCCCATATCCCTGCATGTTTTGGTTATTCCGAACAGCTGTAGGGAGCGGCACCTGTTCACACCACGGCAATAACCATCGTAATAATCAAGCATCCAGTAACCCTACACCACCCTGAAAATGATCCCGCCTGTGTCATTTAAAGTTATGTACTACCTGCTGCCTAGGATCGGTCCAATCACCAACTCCCGGCCCTGCAGGCAGTACCAATTGTTTGTGGGAAATTTGGGTGGGCCATGGCTGGATTCCAAAAGGAAACGTGAAATCAGTGAAGTCCATTTAGGGGGTCACCCTCATTGCTATCCACGGAAATGTGAATAGCGAAAATGTGATCGGAATAGGACGCCTCGGTGACGGAAATATGACGCCTTGGTGACGGAAATGCAACAGACATGTGACGACTCTGTGACGGAAATGCGAACGGAAATGTACTCGGTGACGGAAATGCGACCACTCAGTGACGGAAATGTGACGACTTGGTGACGGACATGTGACGACTCTGTGACGGAAATGCGACCACTCAGTGACGGAAATGTGACGACTTGGTGACGGACATGTGACGACTTGGTGAAGGACATGTGACGACTCGGTGACGGAAATGCGACCACTCAGTGACGGACATGTGACGACTTGGTGACGGACATGTGACGACTCTGTGACGGAAATGCGACCACTCAGTGACGGAAATGTGACGACTTGGTGACGGAAATGTGACGACTTGGTGACGCACATGTGACGACTATGTGACGGAAATGCGACCACTCAGTGACGGAAATGTGACGACCTTGTGACAGACATGTGACGAGTGACGACTCTGTGACGGAAATGGGACCACTCAGTGACGGAAATGTGACCACTGCGTGACGGAAATGCGACGACTTGGTGACGGACATGTGACGACTCGGTGACGGAAATGCGACCACTCTGTGACGCCACTCAGTGACGGAAATGTACTCGGTGACGGAAATGCGGCCACTCAGTGACGGAAATGTGACGACTTGGTCACGGACATGTGACGACTCTGTGACGGAAATGCGACCACTCAGTGACGGAAATGTGACCACTGAGTGACGGAAAAGTGACGACTTGGTGAAGGACATGTGACGACTCGGTGGCGGAAATGCGACCACTCAGTGACGGACATGTGACGACTTGGTGACGGACATGTGACGACTCTGTGACGGAAATGCGACCACTCAGTGACGGAAATGCGACGACTTGGTGACGGACATGTGACGACTCTGTGACGGAAATGTGACGACTCTGTGACGGAAATGCGACCACTCAGTGACGGAAATGTGACGACCTGGTGACGGACGTGTGACGACTCGGTGACGGAAATGCGACCACTCAGTGACGGAAATGTGACGACTTGGTGACGGACATGTGACGACTCTGTGACGGAAATGCGACCACTCAGTGACGGAAATGTGACCACTCAGTGACGGACATGCGACGACTTGGTGACGGACATGTGACGACTCGGTGACGGAAATGCGACCACTCAGTGACGGAAATGTGACGACTTGGTGACGGACATATGACGACTCTGTGACGAAAATACGACCACTCAGTGACGGAAATGTGACGACTTGGTGACGGACATGTGACGACTCTGTGACGGAAATGTGACCACTCAGTGACGGAAATGTGACGACTTGGTGACGGACATGTGACGACTGTCTGAGGGAAATGCGACCACTCAGTGACGGAAATGCGACCTCTCAGTGACGGAAATGTGACGACTTCGTGACGGACATGTGACGACTCGGTGACGGAAATGCGACCATGACGACTTGGTGACGGACATGTGACGACTCTGTGACGAAAATGCGACCACTCAGTGACGGAAATGTGACGACTTGGCGACGGACATGTGACGACTCTGTGACGGAAATGCGACCACGAGTGTGACGGATGTGACGACTCGACTCTGTGACGGCAATGCGACCACTCAGTGACGGAAATGTGACGACCTGGTGACGGACATGTGACGACTCTGTGACGGAAATGCGACCACTCAGTGACGGAAATGTGACGCCTTGGTGAGGGACATGTGACGACTCTGTGACGGCAATGCGACCACTCAGTGACGGAAATGTGACGACCTGGTGACGGACATGTGACGACTCTGTGACGGAAATGCGACCACTCAGTGACGGAAATGTGACGCCTTGGTGAGGGACATGTGACGACTCTGTGACGGCAATGCAACCACTCAGTGACGGAAATGTGACCACTCAGTGACGGAAATGTGACGACTTGGTGACTCATGTGACGACTGTGTGACGGAAATGCGACCACTCAGTGACGGAAATGCGACCTTTCAGTGACGGAAATGTGACGACTTGGTGACGGACATGTGACGACTCGGTGACGGAAATGCGACCACTCAGTGACGAAAATGCGACGACTTGGTGACGGACATGTGACGACTCTGTGACGGAAATGCGACCACTGAGTGACGGACATGTTAGTGACGGACATGTGACGACTGTGTGACGGAAATGCGACCACTCAGTGACGGACATGTGAGCACTCAGTGACGGAAATGTGACGACTTGGTGACGGACATGTGACGACTCGGTGACGGAAATGCGACCACTCAGTGACGGAAATGTGACGACTTGGTGACGGACCTGTGACGACTCTGTGACGGAAATGCGACGACTCTGACGACTTGGTGACGGACATGTGACGACTCTGTGACGGAAATGCGACCGCTGAGTGACGGAAATGTACTCGATGACGGAAATGCGACCACTCAGTGACGGAAATGTGACGACTTGGTGACGGACATGTGACGACTCTGTGACGAAAATGTGACCACTCAGTGACGGACATGTGACGACAGGGTGACGGAAACGTGACGACGTGAGCAACAAACATGCGAGACGCGGCGCGACGGAATGCGACGACTGAATGACGGAGATGTGACGCCTCAGTGACGGAAGTCTGACGACTTGGTGGCGGAGATGTGACGACGCGATCAGCAACGGAACGAGAAGACGACTCAGCGACGAAAAATGTAGACTCGGCGCAAGTCTAATACGCGAAGTACACTTCCGCAGCTGTAGCGTCCAGCATGAGGTCGAATATGCAGCTGTGCAACACGAAGCTAGCACTCGAAGTAGACTTCCGCAGCTCTGGCTCGAATATGGCAGTTTGGTAGCATAAGTCTAGTATGCGAATACTCTTCCGCAGCTCCAGCACGACAATCGCAACTATGAACCACAATAATAAAACGCGCAGTACACTTCGGCAACTCCGGCTCGAATGTGGCAGTCGGTAACAAAACAGCGACGACTTGGTGACGGAAATGTGACGACTTAGCCGGTCACGGAATCGATGACGGAGGGACTACTCTCAGTGACGGACGTGCGACGACTGGGTGACGTTAGATGTGATGACTCCATGGCGGCAACGTGACTCCTTGTCTGGCGTGCGAATACTGTTGGTGACGGAAAAGTGTGACCACTCGGTCGGTCACGGAAGGCGGACATGGGACTCTCAGCGACGGACGTATGACCACTGGGTGTCGCAGATGCGATGACTCCATGGCGGCAACGTGACTCCTGAGTGACGGACATGCGACGACTCTGAGACGAAAAACGTGACCACTCAGTGGCGGAAATGTGTGTCACATTGCCGCGCAATTCTGTCATAGTTTCACGTTTCCATCACCGAGATGTGGCATCTGAGTCGTCGCATCTCCGTCACCGAGGCGTCACATTTCTGTCACTGAGTCGTTGCATTTCCGTCACGCCTCGTAACATTTTCTTCATCAAGTCCTCGTGTCTGCCCATGTTCGTTACTCAGTCGTTCACATTTCCGGTACTGAGTCGTCACATTTCCGTCACCTGGTCGTGACACTGACAGACCTGACGGACGGAACTGCGACTATACTCTGAAACGCGCCGCCTCGACGACGGACATGGGACGACTCAGTGACGGCAATGTGACGACTGGGCGACGGCTGTGACGACTCAGCGGCGGGGATTGATGGCGGACATGGGACGACTCTCAGTGACGGACGTGTGACGACTAGGTGACGCAGATGCCACGGTGCGACGACTCGGCGACCCAACTCGATAGTACGACCCAGTGACGGGGGGGTGACTCAGTGACAGAAATGAACATGGCGACGACTCGCCCACTGAGACGCGCAGACTCAGTGACGGAAATGCCACAACTCGGCGACGGACGGAGATGTGTGCGAAAGTGCAATAACGAAACTGCGCCGACTCGGCGACGGAAATGCGACGAACATGACGGAAATGCGATGACTCGGTGACAGCAAGGTGACGGAAAAGCGACGACTCGATGGCGGACAAACTGTCGACTCGACGCTCGTGCAGCAGACTTTGGCCGATCGGTGACGGAAATGTATGCGGACATATCA